AATGACTCTCTCTCTCTCTCTTTCTCTCTCTCTCTTAGTCTACCCTCACCCTCTCTCTTACACATACTATTTAAAATAAAAACATGCGGTATGCTAGCTTATTTTTGAATTACTAGAAAAATATCGACAACGAAGAATAAATAACAAATATACGACCTTAATAAAATGAAATGTTTAAAAATCATTTAAGAACATGAAAACAATACTCATCAATGAAAATGCGTTTAATTAGGCAGTTTGCGACTGTACAATAAATATATTATTGCATTCTACCAAAAAATAGTTTTTTTATAGAATTTTATATCAGTTTACATTTTTTATTTCATAAATGTAATCAGCAATAGGTAACGCTATTATTTCCTGGTAATTAAAAAATAACACTTGTATATGATTATAATTCTTACAAATCAATAATAAACCCTTTACAGGTACATACATGGGGGCGAGTGTGAACTGGATGGACAGCACGGGCAAGGAGGTGACGCTCTGGCAGACCATGCTGCAGCGACCCAACTTCTGGGTAGAGGGCTCCTTGCCGCTGCGGCCGCAACTCAACAACTAGGAAACATCCTAATTACTATTGTCCAAATATCTTGGCGGTTCCGAACTTTGTACGAGTCAAAGAACACAATTTTAGGCCTAGCGTAATTTAATACGCGAGCACTGCCCATATGACCTTGAGCCGCAAAGATATTTGATAAGACACCTAATACTACGATACTCAAATCACAACATTCAATTCTCTGCATACTTTTGGTCATAATCTGACCTTTGTGCCAATTTTTATATTTAGACTTAAATCGAACAGTACCAATGATATGGCTAATATCTTCAAAGATCATTCCCCAATTAAATACATAAGTATGTGTCTTCATCAAAAACACCCAACATATGGGTTGGCTTTAATATCGTATTTTTATATTTTAATATTATATAATGTAAATAAATTTCTAATACATTCCAATTGTTAAATATCATATGTGATTTAAAATACTCTGAAAATTAATAAGAAATAATGGCTCTTTTTAAGATTATTCGTTGACTTCGCATGTGGTCTGTAATAAAAATGCCTGACGAAACTGACTTATATTTAAATAATGTTTACATAACTAGTATACATTTAAATCAATGCCATCCACTTATCTACAAACATTCCTTCCACTATAAAAATGTTGAAATATAAAATTAACATAAGTGTTCTATTGACAATAATATTTGTTTCCTTGTCTATTTGTACTGCCTATAAATTTATTTAGAAATAACTACGTAAGTTAACGCATTTAAAATAGAGTAATAATGTACAAATTAAGTTCTCATGAGTTAAGTTTCTGCTCATGCAAAATGTGATTTTTTGGATAGGGTACATTTTCTTAATTACTTAATAAGAAAAGTGTGTTTATATATGTTCTAAGATGTCTGTGTATACTGGATTTGCGATATTTATGACTTTAATTGTTAAAGTAAGCAAACGTCCATAGCATGTAAAATATAATTATATTTGAATCTACTTAACATTACATAAAGTTGAGATAATTTTTCGTTTTATTTTATATATTTTTATATACTTAGATGTGTAATTTAATGATAAATGAATAAAATTTGGAAGAATTTAAATATAAAATAATAAAAATCATGTTGAATTGTTTTATTTTCTATTTTAAAGTGAATCGTTGCCATTATTAAAGCTATCAAAAGGGAGCATATCTGTCCGCAAAGTTTAACTACCTCACTCGGTAAACTGAACCTGCTACCATGCACAAGTTATGTGCTATGCTATGCTATATGATGTTGCCAAGCATTCTAATTAACTTACCGTTTATCGCAGATTTTGTTAACCTGCGAACGACTATAGCATTCAGGAACTATACTTAATTAAATATTTAGCATACATACATATCCAATAGTGACCTTAATTAGGGCATGTCGGGTTATGGAAAAACATTTTATATTCATCATAAAGTTTTAAAACATTGTTTTTTTATTAGGTTAGATACATTTTCTGAATATTTAAGTAAACATTTGGTTTACATTCATATTTGTTTCTTTTATCTGTGTTTGTACATGTATTTTATTATCTGTTGAATATACCAACAATCACTTACTGTCACTGTCACACCATATTTGATTTCTGTTAACAGACTGTTCTCAAGTTTAAATTATCTCTGTTTCGCTTATAAGGTATTCGAATGTGAATCTCATAAGTAAAATTAGTATTAAAATTAACAATGCCGCTTAAAAGTAAAATATTTTTCGTATCGTCGATATTCTTTATTACGATAAGATCAGGTAAGAAAAAGTTGTCAACACGGTAACGCCCTAAAAGTACCAAATTCAACGTTGTTTTTTTATTTTAGTTAATTCGATCAGTTGCTATCAGTGTTCAGGGACCGATTCAGAGAATCCTTTCGAATGTAACGAGTTCTTAGAAACCGATACAGATATATTAGCGACCGATTGTGCGACCATCCATGATGCTCAGTACTGCATTAAGCACGTCGGTAGATTCGAAGGTGAGACTAAAGTGCTAATGCTCTGGGTCTCTGGTATACTAACGTTTCATTAGCTATTTAACAGGCTGTTAACGGTTTAACAAAATATTTGCATTGTATGTGTTGCAATACTCTTATGATCTCAGATTAGGTTCTTTCGATCATGTTGATTAGTAACATAGCATTCTAAACAATCTTGTTGGTACTCTTTATAACCAAAAAATCTATTTGCTTCTTATTTACTAATATTATTAATGTGTAACTTTATATGGATTGAAATTGTTAGAAGTTATCACGAACTGCTCAATGGAACATGATGTAATTTAGCATAAGTGTAGAACACAAACTAAAAGAACACAAGCTCATAATTCATTTTTTTTTAATTCTGTAATGTGGGAGTTGTGGGTCAAAAGCTAGTTTATAATATACGAACTTCATCCGCATGGAATTATGAAATTTTTATTTTATTGTTTACATTTGTCAAATTATCAATTGCAAATGTCAAAATGACATGACAATGACAAACCATGGCAACCTTGCTTTCTTGATGTTGGCAGCAACTTATGGTCTCTTTCCCACATTAGGGTTTTTATCCAAAATATTTATGCCCTAAGTTTAATGGCATGAAAACATTATAAATAACATATTAAAAAAGAGAATTATTCAAAAATATGCTGTAATTGCTGACATCTTAAGCAACAAAGAAGCGTGTGTTTACACTTTATTATAATAGTATAGATTAAAAGTGTTATAGGCATTATGCTGTCAGTCATTTCATTGCTGATTAATTAAAAACTATACTTACAATAATATTTTTTGATCTAGGTGTAGGTATAGAGTGTTACCAGTGTAACTCCTCTAACACATTGGAATGTGGTGATGGTCTCATTAACTTGGACGGAGGTTACCTGAAGGCAACTCCTTGTGATCATGTGTACAATGCTCAGTATTGCATTAAGCAGTCAGGTTACTAACAATAACAATAATAAGCATAAATATATAATGTTAGCCCTTAATTTGACAGTGTCTAGTTTGATGAGAAACTAATTAAAAAAAAACCTATCAAACTAGTTTATTTCATATCCAAAAACATGACTGTTCTAAAAAAAAGTTTTGTTTGCTACAAAATTTCCGTTGAATTAAGGGTTAATAAAATGCATTTTTTAACCACAATGAGTGTTATGCACTTACACAAGTGGATTTTGTATATTTTAATGCACTAATATTTAAGTAAAATTTGTATAAACTAATATAGGTTAATGGGAGATTGGTAATTCAGCTTTGAGTTTTTAAACACAATATTTGTTCACTAATAATTAGATGAGGTTGTTGGCACTGGGCACTAATACTATTATGGTAAGTTTTTGATGCATGTTATTTGGTTGATTCAAACTAAATAGATGATCATCAATAACTAAATAAAAAATGTACAGACACAGTTCAGCTTTGATTGAATTACTCGGAATTTTATTAGTCTCTGATATTTTTAGACTGATAGACAGATCATAAATGTTCATAAAACATAATGTTTTGCTATGCTACATATTCCCATAAGCTGTCTGAATCAACCAATTCTATAGTAATTAAAAGTTGACATTTTTTTAATCTGTATTCATAAAACTTTCAGGTGGAATTAGCACAAAAAGATTCTGCTCCTCATTAGATTTGGGCAATTATTGTAACTATGTTGCCCAACCCGGAGACAAACTAGAATACAGGACATGTATATATACTTGCAGCAGTGATGGGTGTAACTCAGCTGTAGCTGTGAAAATTTCAATGACATTGCTTATTTTAATATTTGTTTCATTTATGTATACATGATGTTATTTTTAACATTTGCATTATGGCTACCTCTGACATTGCCTAGTTTAGAATATACACACAGACTGATTATCAATCTCTAAAAATATATTTTAACTCAATCATTCCACTTTATTTTTAAGTTTTATATTAATTTTAAAACTAAATCCATCCAATTAAATATATGCCTTATATTTACATCATATGAAAATATTTTTTATTACATATTGTTTTTGTTCATATTGTAGAGTTTGGAGTATTTTTTATTTTGTTATGATACATTGATTAAGCAATGGTGAATAAAATGAAAATGTTTTGACTTGCTTGTTATTAATTTCATTTTTATGAGGAATTTATTTTCAAACAGTGTTTTTGGTTAGTGTAATTAACTTTTTTTGCATATCCATACATATCCTAAACTCTGTTTCCATTGTAAAGATCGCTGATATAATTTTTTCACAGATTGAAATAAATGATTTTTGCACATGTTTCATGAGTGGAAATTTTTGGTTGTACTTTATGTATTATGATACTGTTGTGTTCATGTGTGCATCTATTGGTATTACCAATTTGTATACTTTTAATACAATTTTGTATTTAGAAATGTTTTATTTTTTATCCTAATATCACTATAAATAATGGTAAAATGGCAGCATTTTGCAGCAGCACTGAGGAAGGTAAGAGTTAATGATAATAAAACTCAAGTAAAAATGTTCAAACATTTATTGAAAATTTGTGCTACACAAGCTTTATATAAAAATACACAATAAATATTAACGTCGACTTAGCCAAGAACTAAATTAAACCAGCTATTATGCAATAATACTTTTGTCTTAACATAACTTACACTAGTCGTTGCTTTTGTCCAGAACAATGGAATGTCAGGTCATGCACAAGTACAGTCAGCGACAAAGCGACAGACGACTGTCAATGTACGTACATTGTACAAATTGTCGAAATCGATCTACAAATCTTGACCTTTAGCAATGCTATAGTAATTGTTCATACACAATTAATAAAATACTGTTCATCTCTTAAATTAGAAAGTAAAGAATATGATTTCCCATAGATTGTAAAAATTAAGGGGAAATTTTTTAATTATTACACCATGGATGATTACGTTTTTGTTGCTGACTGTACTTTTATGCAATCCATTAAAATAATCGAATAATTTTCGTTAATGGTATAAAAAGGTTCACAAGTAAGCGTGTAGCACCTAAATATTATCTAGCTTGTATTGCTATAGCTTAAAAAAATATTCGGCATACAAAAAGTTCAGGTAACCTTTTTGTACATCTTTTTCAGTTTTAAACGAGTCTGGCACTGGTTCAGAAATTACACCAAATTACATCAGATTATTCTTAAAGGTTTTTCATATTTTTTCTTTATAACAAAGTAAAAGTCCCAATAAAACGAAGACATACAAAACTAATGTACATTAAAGGAACAATACTAAAATAAATCAGACTTAAAAAGATTAAAAACAAATCACTAACAAAGTCAAACTTAAAAAATAAAGCAATAAACAATATTTTTTGTGCTAAAGAAACAGTGATATTGGGAATAATAAATCACAAGACAAAATGCCTCAATATTCATTGCACAATGTTATATTAATAAAAAAACATACTTATTATAAGTTGATCTTCGATTACAAATACAATTTTTAGTCAAAAAAAAATCAACTCATTTTGTATCTAATTTCGGTCGAATGTATTATTTCGTCCGATTTCTTGTTTTATAGACTCTGAAGATAGCTTCGCATCTTAAGAGTATGAAATAATTTTATATGTACTTACATATAAAGCTTGAACAACCAAGCCATCTTATTCTAAAGCATTCTGATAGCTAAAGAAAATGCAAAAATATAGTAAGTTTTAGACAAAACTAGGCCTTACCATCACGAATTTAATCACATAAGCTATAAACTAAACTTGCCAGTGGAGAAAAAAAAATTAAAACCATTTGTCATGGAACATATTTTGTCAAATGAAATATTTTGCACTAAGAATAGCTAAATTTATAAAATTTTGGAATAACATCCAATTGATCCCTTATGAATAAATTTTTATTTAATACTGTTTATTTCTTTTGGCTCATTCAAAATAACCGAGTTGATATCAAATCCATTAAATTTTGGAATATAATTTTGGAATGTTAAATTTAGTTATGATAAATTTGACAAGATTTTTAGACTTAAAAAAAAATACAGACTTCCTTTTGTAAAGTCTGTTTTAAAAAAGATTTGTTATTGTTCCGAATTGATTGAAAATTTCTATAAAAGCATTACATCAAAACTTTAAGCTTAATTAATCATACAAATTGTAGACAAATGTCAAATTACTGCTTTGTCACTTATTTTATACAAAATTTATTACATAATTATTATGAAAGATCACTTATATAAATATAATAAAACATGTTCATGATTTAAAACCGCATTTAAGGCATATATGCATCAAGCATAGCAACGATTTTCTTGTCATGATTCGCACGCTTCATGCGACACCGCCACAAAGTCCACACACAGTCCTTAAGTGAGCCTCGAATCTACACTAAGAGACTGATTAAGTATTTAAACGTTTCTGCGACAATTTGAGTTGTGGCAAAGCTTTATATTAAAACACAGTACATTTTGTACTGTTAGCTTCAAAAATCACTGGCCCACATACAAGGAATGCAGTTTTAATTACAAGTAGATAGATAGATAGCATAGATTTACCGCTGTATTGCTTACAAAATGTTTTGCTAACAAATATCTTTAATGCTGACATTAAAAATATTTGTTCACTAAATATAAAACATGTGTTTATGCATTGGTTACAATCTTGTGTTAATTTCAATCGAGGTCAGTAAATAACATTTCCGTGTTTCATCAGAGAAACAAATATAAAAAAGTACTTAATATTGTGATGATACATTTCTACAGACATAGTTTAGCAAAAAATATTGATTTTTAAACTTTATTGCATAACACCATTCTTATATAAATTTTTACTGACATTGCATAAAACCATCCAATAAATGTACCACAATATCTAGTGAACATTATGTGAGCTTTAGCATAGCTGCGGTGTGAGCGGCCAGCAGC